TCACTCCTCCTCCTCCTCCTCCTCCTCCTCCTCCTCCTCCTCCTCCTCCTCCTCCTCCTCCTCCTCCTCCCTGGCGGCCGTCCTTCTTTGCAGCGAGGCGAGGAGCAAATTTCGCGCGGGCTTCGACGGGCGCCTCGATGGGCCTCTGGTGGTTCTTCGCCTCCGCACAGATGTCCGCGCAACACCTCTGGGCCTGACCTCCGGCCAGCGGGGTCGCGGGCCAGAATGCGAGCGAAAACGTCTCGTGAGACGTCTGTAGGGGAACAAGAAGTGACATACATCAAAAAACTCGGAGGTCCGCGCGGATTTCTCGGATCGGCGCTGGGCCCCCCCGGCGGCGCCTCGGGCGCCGCCCCTGGCGCGCTCCGCGCGCCAGGGAGGGGGGTCCAGCGCCGATCCGAGGAATCCGTGCGGACCTCCGAGTTTTTAATGTTTATGTCACTTTTTGTTCCCCTAGTCTTGTGCGGGCCTTGGGCGCACCCTGTGCAGGCTCCAAGACCTGCCCAAGCTCGTCGCGGCAACCATGGACAGCGCGCGCGAGGTTGCGGATTGAGTAGCGGGCGGGAAGTGAGAGGAACGCGGGCGAGGGAAGGGAAGAGAAGGGCGGCAACAGCAAACTACAATCTGAAGCTTTTAGCAGGTCGCAAAGGTTTGCCCCCGCGCCAGTTGCGTCGGAGCTCATGATCTCAATGTCCAGCGCAGCCAAGCGACCCGGGAAGGCCGCGAAAGTCAGGATGTCCACGGGGCGGAGCGTTGGAGCAAAGGAACTAACACCGACGGCTTCGATCGCGTCGGCGTGGTCTGCCACGTGCACCAACCAGGACACTTCGTCCTAGATGTCGTACTGCCCGAACCAACTTCCCGGTTGATTTCTTCGCCAGCATCTGCGGCCCCATCTGCGGGCCGAGCGAAGTGTTTAGAACAGCTCGCCTCTGCGCAGGGGCCGCGGTCTCCCCGTGCTCCCTGTCCTGCATCCCCTGGGCCACGCGCCCTACTCACCTGGTGCATGCGGTTTGCGCGCGGCCCTGTGATGCCGCGGTGCCCGTCGAACGCAGTCTCCGAGCACTTGCGCTTGCGCGGCCTCGGTGGCCATGGAGCCAGCGGGCGGCTCTTGCGGCCCAGCGGCCTTCTGGGCAGCCTTGCGCTTCACCCGTGCCAGGCTGGCCTTGGAGCGCGCCTCCCGGATCCATGGGACGCCGCCCAGGGCGGCCGAGTCAAGCGCTCCAGAACAGGCGTACATCATGAACACCGCGTCCGTTGCCCACGCACCGTACAAACGCGCTTTCACCATTGACATATCCTTGAAATCTGGGCTGCGTTGCGATTCCCTGCCGCTTCGACCTAGTAGCCGAAACCGCTGGCGCGTAGCCGTCCTCAATCGTGATCCCACTTATCAGCCACGCGGCAACGCCGCAGCTGGGGTGGTCTCGCATCCACTTGGCCGTAATGGCTGGTGTCGCGAATGGTTGTGTGATCCATTTGAGACAAGCCGTGAACATAACTGTGTATAGAAGAAGCAGGAGTGGCGGTCGGAGACTACGTCTCTCCCTCCACCTCCTCCTCCCTGTCCGCTCCTCGCTTGCTCAGCCTCATCATGTTTCTCTCCTCCTCCTTTTCCTCCCTAATGCTTTTGCTGCTGTTCCTGTGCCTCCGCCATACTTCATGCCCAGCCACGCGGCAACGACAGGATCGCGCCCCTGGGCCACGGCAAGGTAGCCAGGACGTGGGAGCTTTCGTCGCCCCCATCCTGCTTTCCACCTCTCCATTTTCATCATCGTTTGCTCTTCCTTCTAAAACGTCGTTGAGCTCTGCCGCATGCAATTCCAAACGCAATCCAGTGCAACGTTGGCGCGTCTCTCTGGCCGGGCGGGCGGCGCCCACTGTTCACTGAAAAACCGCAGTCTTCAGAGGGCAAGAACGAAGCAAGAGAACGCGAATCGACGCCCAGAGTCCAACACAAGAGCCCACGCAAAACCGCACAAGACATCGCGCACAAGACCTCTAGGACCACTCCTTCTGTTGAACATGTTAAATCATACATACCTGTGTGATGTGATCTCGCACTGCATTATTCCGACCGTCCGCTCGACCGTCCGGCGCCCCCCCCCCAGCGCCTTCCCTGGAGGGTTCCCTGGAAGTGTCCTGGGGGCATCCTGGAGAGTGTCCCGGAGAGTGTCCTGGAGACGTCCTGGAGGGCGCCCCTGGAAATGTCCTGGCGCCCCACCCCCTCTGAAAGGTCATTCCGTTTCGTACCTCCCTCAGCAGCCGGATGCTTCTCTCCCTGCCCCTCCTGCTCCCGTCCCTCGTTTTCTCCTCCGGCCGCGGCCTCGAAGGGGTTGTCCACAAAGTAGAACCTGAGGCCAGGGCAGAGGTTTGGTTGACCCAAATCTATCGCACCAACTCTACTGGTTCACCCCCCATTTGGGTCAGCCAGGAAAGGGGGGGGGGGAAGGAGACGAGCCTGCCGAGGGCGCAGGATCGAGGGTCCTCTGCCTCGGTGCCCCTTCGCCGCTCGGGGGAGCGGCACTGGCCGAGGACCAAAGGTCAGGCAGGGTCGGGCGAGCAGAGCGTGCTTGCTTCCAGGCTCCAGCCTCCAAGGCTCTGGGCTGTGTCCCCGTGGGGGGGCATTCTTGGGGCACAGCGACCGCAGACTTACACCCGGCATCAGGGCGCTGTGCACCACGCGGGCACAAGCAGCGGCACTAAAACGCAGATGACGAAACGGTGGGTGAAACGTGTGTGTGTGTGTGTGTGTGTGTGTGTGTGTGTGTGTGTGTGTGTGTGTGCGTGTGCGTGTGCGTGTGCGTGTGCGTGTGCGTGTGTGTGTGCGTGTGTGTGTGTGTGTGTGTGTGTGTGTGTGTGTGTGTGTGTGCGTGCGTGTGTGTGTGTGTGCGTGTGTGTGTGTGTGTGTGTGTGTGTGTGTGTGTGTGTGTGTGGACTGAAATCTGCTCTCGCAGATGCTTCATGCTATGCGCCTGCAGAGGGTTCCCTTGACCCACGCGGCGAGGCCCCCTGCCATGGAGCTCCAAGTCGCCCCATCACTGTTGACATCGCTCCATGCTGTCACGCTGCTCTGCGCAACACATCTGCGAGTTCGATCTTCCCCTTGAATCCGCCCCCGCCGCCGAGGAGGGGCCCTTCTGCAGACTGATGGTGGGCCAACACCAGCGGCGGCCGTGGGCAGAGCGCAACCCCAAAGGGCGGCGGAGGCGGAGGGGGACGACGAGCAGGGCGAGGTGGAGAATCCTGTGGTGTTGGGTCTTCGTTTCGAAGAGGCAGTGCCCCGCGTCTGCTTCCTCCGCCTCTCATCTCCTCCTCCCTCTTTCCTTACCTGCCTCTGCTCTCCGCATGTCCTCATCGCCATCATCATCGCCAACGTTATTGTAATCATCGCCTCATTATTACCGCCATCGTCACCACGATCATCTTTCCGCCCCTCCTTTGTCAGACTCCGTACGCGTTTCGTGGCCCTATAGGGAGCTCCACCGAAGGTCCCAGTGGCTCCGTTCGCAAGGAGCACCCGCGCCGAACTCGTTTCGTGGCCCCATATGAAGCTCCACCGAAGGCCCCGATGGCTGCGTTCGCATGGCGAACCCGCACCCCATTCGGCCCCCCACTCTCACGTTTCGTGGCCCCATAAGGGGAAATTGCCGCAAGCATTAGTGGTTGCTTTCGGATGCCGTGCCCGCCCCCCCCTCATTCGGCACACCCCTCACACGTTCCATGGCCCCATCAGAAGCTCCGACGGCCCCAGTGGATGCGCTCGCATGGCGTACCCGCCCCTGATTCGGCACACCACTCACACATTTCTTGGCCACACAAGGAACCATAGACATAGAGACCTCCACCGAAGGCCATTGGCTGCCAATGGCAGCGATCGTATGGCGCACCCGCACCCAATCTGGCACACCCCTCACATGTTCCGTGGCCCCATAGGGAGATCCAACGAAGGCCCCTGCAGCAGGGTCCGCCTGGCGTGCCCGCACCCGATTCGGCACACCGCTCATACGTTTCGTTGCCCCATAGGGAGCTCCACCGAAAACGATTCTTACAACTGCTGTATTCACACTTGCATACGGTTGGGCTCTTCGCCAGGATAAGTTCGCTCTGCTCCCTCTGACAAAGCTTGGGGTTGCGCACAGACAGGCGCCAGAAGTAGCCCCGGCTGGCCTCACAGGACCATCCAATAGTTTGAGGTGCAGTGTGGCCGAATTCATACAGGTGTGCGGTAAGGATGCACTGCAAGGCCCTTGGACGCCCAAGCTGACGCCGAAGTTTAAAGCCCATGGCCCATGGCTAGGGGCTAGAATGGTCCGAGACGCAAGGATGCAAGGGGCACCCTCGGAAGGCTACTCATCCTCGTGCTGCGTTTTGTCTGTAGCCCTCGCTGACATCACAGGGCCCCGCGATCAGTGCAGGGGCGGCCTCAACACCTCGGCCTCGATGTGGGGGCGACGCCTGGCGGCCTGGAGGTGCCAAGGCGGTCCCAGACTGCCCCCGGGGGCCCTCTTTTGCGGCCGGCCGGGGCCATCTCTGGGTGTCCGTGCGCAGCTGCAGGCCCTGCCACGGGCCTCCGGAGGTCTCCGGAAGTCCCCATGCCCCCCCCCCACCTTCGCACGGGACAGCGCAGGAGAGTGCCCTCTTTGATGGGACGGCGCTTCCTTTTTCAGGCCATGGTTCACTGCAGGGGTTTGCCTATCGCAGGTCGGCTCGTTTGGAATTCCCAGACTGCCTGGGGACCTTGTGATTCGCACAGCAGTTTGGGCCGAGTTGTGTGAAGCTCTGTGGTCGCGTTCCCTCCTCCGCCTCAAAAACAATTAGCCTGGTGGGGGACCCAACCTATTGATGCAGTTGCGAGTGATCGCGTGCAGGTGAAGGCCTTCGGCCGCTGGGGCCTTCGGTGGAGCCCCCCCGGGGGGCCACGACGCGTGAGGGGAGTGTGCCGGATCAGGGGCGGTTGCGTCATGCGGACGCTGCCGCTGGGGCTTTCCTGGGAGCTCCCTATGGGGCCGCGAAGTGTGTGAGGAGTGTGCCAGAT